TAAAATTTCCAAGGCATATTGCTTCATAAAAGTATGTTGCTCTTTCATGGTTTTTAAAAAAAAAGCATTCAACAAACTAGGAATGGGAGGAAACTTCAACCTGACAAAGGGTATGTGCGCAAAGCCCACTACAAACATCCTGTGCAGAGGGAGAGCCTGGATCCTCTCCCCAAGACCAGCAAAGAGACCAGCATTCCCACCCCTGCCACTTTCCCTCAAGGGTACACTGATGTTCCAGCAAGTAAATAAGGAAAAAAAGAAAGAAAAGACATCCAGACTGAACGGGAAGAAGTAAAACATCTCTCCCCACAGATGACATGATCTTGTATGCAGAAAGTGCTGAAGACACACACGTGCACACATGCACACAAAACTGTTAGAGGTGATAAATTTGGTAAAGTTGTAGGATATGAGATCAAGACACAAAAACCTGAATTTCCGTATTTAGGAAACATTTGCCTGTTCTGAGGTCAGAGGATTCACATTATTTCCACACACCAGCAATGAGCATTCCAAAAAGAAACCAAAAGAAGAAAGTAATTCCACTTGTAACAGTATGAAAATGAATACAATACTTTGAAATAAACCTTTTTTTAAGTGTAAAATTAACAGTAAAAGCTACAAAATATTGTTGAAAGAAATCAAAGATGACTTAAACAGAAAGTTGTTCTAAATTCATGAACTGGACAAGTGAATATTGTTACGAGGGCAACCACCCCCACAGTGTTCTGTACATTCAGTGCAATTTGTATCTAAATCCAATTGCCTTGGGGCGCCTGGGTGGCTCAGATGGTTAAGCATCTGCCTTCGGCTCAGGTCATGATCTCAGGGTCCTGGAATCGAGCCCCACGTCGGGCTCCCTGCTCAGCGGGAAGCCTGCTTCTCCCTCTCCCTCTGCTGCTTCCCCTGCTTGTGCTCTCTCTCTCTGTCAAATAAATAAATAAAATCTTAAAAAAAAAAAAATCCAATTGTCTTTTTTTTCCCCCGGAAGTGGATAAGCTGATCCTAAGATTCATATGGAATTGCAAGGGACCCTGATAGCTAAAACAGGCTTGAAAAATAACAAACTTGGAAGACTCTTACTTCCTGATTTCCAAACTTACTATCAAGCTATAATTAAAACAGTGTGGTCCTGGCACAGGACAGACATACAGAAAAATGGACTAAACTGAAAGCCTGGAAATAAATCCAAACATCTAGAGCCCATTGATTTCTGACAAGGGTGCTAAGGCCATTCAGTGGGAAAAGCAATCTGCTCCACGGATGGTGCGGGGACAAGGACGCCCAGGAGAAGGACTGGATCTGGACCCCTGCCTCACACCATATACAATCGCTAACCCGGAAGGCATCGATGACTTCAACATCAGAGGTAAAACTAAAACTCCCACAAAACCTAGATGTAAATTTGGGACCTTAGATTTGACGATGGTTTCTTAGATGTAACACTGAAACCACAGGTGACAGAAGAAAAAAATAGATGTGAGACCCAATCAAATCTGAAATCTTTTGTGCTTCCAAGGACACATCAAGGAAGTGGAAAGACAACCCACGGTACAGAAGAAAGCATCTGCAGGTCACACATCTGGTAAGGGTCTAGTATCCAGAACATAACCATAATTCTCACAACTCAACAACAAAAGACAAACAGTCCAACTTACAAGGACTCATACAGACATTTCTCTGGATGCACAGACGGCCAACAAATGCATGAGAAGATGCTCCCCATGCACGGTCATCAAGAAAATGAAAATTAGAACTACAGTGAGATACAGCCTCACACCCACTAGGACAGCTGCCATCAAGAAAACAGAAAATAGCAGATGTGGGAAGGGTGGGGGAGATTGGAGCCCTCGCGCCCCTGCTGGGGGTGCCACGTGGGGTGGCCGCCAGGAACAACACTGTGGCCGTCCCTCAGAACTACCATGGGACCAGCAAGCACACACCCAGGTGCACATCCAGGACAAGTGAAAACACACGTCCACACACACACTTGCTCATGAATGTTCACGGCAGCATCACTGATAACAGCCCAGAAGCAGAAACCACCCAAATGGCCATCCATTGAGCAATGAATAGACACAGCATGCTCTACGCATCCAACGGAGTGGTCTTCAGTGGTCGAGAGGAATGGAGTGTAGATGCTACAACGTGGACGGACCCAAACGCATGGTGCCGCGTGGCCACGGGGCGTAGGAGTCCACGTACATGGAATGTGCAGAAGAGAAAAACCCACAGAACAGACGGTAGGGATGGGGAATGGGAGTGCCTGCTAATGGGCATGGGGTTTGTTTCTGGAGTGATAACCATGTTCTGGAGTTGGTGGTGGTGTTTGCATGGCTTTTGTAAATATACTAAAAATCACTGGATGCTTTGAAATGGTTGAAACAGTAAACTTGAGGTTAAGTGAATTTTATCTTTTTTTTTTTATGTTGGTAATGATTTTTTAATTATATTTTCTTTTTTATTGTTATGTTAATCCCCATACATTACATCATTA